TCTCCCTGTCGCTGTTCCTTTCACTCCCCCCGTCTCCCTGTCGCTGTTCCTTTCACTCCCCCCATCTCCCTCTCGCTGTTCCTTTCACTCCCCACATCTCCCTGTTCCTTTCACTCCCCCTGTCTCCCTGTCGCTGTCCCTCCACCTCCCCCCCCCCATCGTCCTAGCTCTGGTCCTCAGGCCTTGTCTGAGCTCATGTCCATCACCACCACAGAGATATCATCGAGCAAAAAAGGTGTCAGACATGAAGCCTACAGAAATGGTCTAATATAAGTCACCTGAAATATCACCCAAATCCCCCAGGACTCTGCCCCCCCTCAGCAGCCTTGAGCTCACTGGGGTGTTACGGAGGAGAAAGCAAAAACAGGGAACACCCACTAGCCCCCACTCCCTGGGCTCCAACAGCTAACGATTACACTAATTAGCCATGACAAAAGAGGGCTGATGTCCACGTTGACCGCCCCCTCGGTGGGGGGTGGGGCAGGGGGGGCTAACATCTTTAAGGAAAGTAGTTTAAATAAAAGGAGTGGGCAGCACTCCGTGGCGGAAGGACGAGGGCTCAGGCACTTCGGTAAAAGCAAACTCTTGCAACGTCCCACAAATCCGGAAAAACATAGGCGAACAACGTGATGGGGTGGGATGAGAAGCCGGTGGCAGGCAGGCGGCGGGGGGATGGGGGGGCTCGCGGTCTTCCTCTATAAATAAAGCGTCATGGGGCGGCGTCAGCGCCCCTCCACCAGGAGCACCGCGCTGTGGAAACCTGCCCTCATTAATGCATTTATGCCTGTGTGAGAAGAATCCCTACCTGCCCGTCAGATATATAAATACACAAGCGTGTGGCGAGAGAGACAGCAAGACAGGCTACTGCTGCTGGGTCATGCTGCGTCTAATTGGCACCCGGAGAGGGAACAAGCACAGGCTGTGATGACTGAGGATTGTGGGAAGACGGGTTGTGTGGTGCGGCTCTGGGAGACACAGAGCCAGGCAGGTGCTTCCACAGGGGGCTGCGTGAGGCGTGACGAGCCAGGATGGCGATGCCACACACACACACACACACACACGCGCGTGCATAGTCACACACACGCACGTGCACAGTCACACACACACACGCACGTGCACAGTCACGCACACACGCATGTGCACACACACATGCGCACACACATACAAATACACACAAATACAAATACACACACACAGCCACACATGAATACACATATACACAAACAGAAATATACACAGATACACACACAAATACAAATATATACAAATACACACACAGACACACACATTGAAACAAGCACACAGATATATAAACACACAGACACAGATGCATACACTCTCAAACAAACATATGGACACACGCACGCACAGTGAGTCACACGCGCCCGCAGCGCCCCCCACCTGCGAGATGGGCTGCTTGACGTAGATCCAGCCGGTGCTGGGGCTGATGTGGAAGTAGGCAGGCTGGTGGGGGGACAGCGAGTAGGTGATGGCGGCGTTGGCCCCCTGGTCATCATCGTGGGCGGCCGCACGCAGAAAGCTGGTCCCCACGGGTGTGTCCTCGCGTAGGAAGTCTACGGGAAGGAGGAGCCTCTTGTCAGATCCAGGCAATGTCCCAGCATGCCGTTGGTGATGCTTAATGAATCAACGCTTCTTGAGTGACTCGGAGAGCATTTTCGAGCTTCTCAAATGGGTGTTTAATAAAACACGGTTCATTCCACCAAAGGGCTTCAGAGATACTGCGGATTAAATTCTGATGATTTACCAACCGTTACTTTATAAGAATAATTTGAGCTAAAACGTGTGTAGACTGGATGCCCAAGAAGTATTAATACATTAATACATACATTAATACGGACGGATGACCTCTGACCCCTAATCACATGACCCTCAGGCCCGGCCAATAAGCGGCTGGTGCCGGATCACCTCCCCGCTCAGGTACCCACACTGATATCGGCTGTTCTCGAACTTGGGGTCGTTGTCATTCTGGTCGGCGATGAGCACGGTGACCTGGCAGATGCCGATGAGCGGCTCCTCGGCGAGATCGGTGGCCGTGACGGACAGGGTGTATTCCCGCTGGCGCTCACGGTCGAAGCTCGCCGTGGTGCTGATGACACCTACGGCAAGCCGCACGCATGGCATGTTAGAGGGACACGCACCTGAATGGAGCCGCACACACACCCCAAACCCGGCACGGCCACTCTACCTACCGGTCTCGGGATCGATGGCGAACCCGGAGGAGGCGCTGTCACGGTGCATGATGCCATACCGGACCTGCCCGTTGGCGCCGATGTCGGCATCGTGGGCTTGCACCCGCAGCACAAAGGTCCCCAGCGGCTGGTTCTCAAGGACCCAGGTGCTCAGGCTGTAGTTCTGGCACTGTGGGGATGACATGGGTTTGGATCATGGGGGTTACTGGGGAGGGGGGGCTTGGGGACCAGGGGGCAAGACTGGGGGCCTGGAGGGCAGGGGTCTGTACAGAGGAGCTGACATACAGACACCCACAGACACACAGACAGACAGACAGAGACAGACAAACACACAGAGAGACACAGACAGACAGATAGAGACACACAGACAGACAGACAAACACACAGAGAGACACAGACAGACAGACAGACACACAGAGAGACAGACAGACAGAGACAAACACACAGAGAGACACAGACACACAGACACACAGACAGACAGACAGACACACAGAGAGACACATACATACAGACAGACACAGACAGACAGACACAGACAGACACAGGCAGACAGACAGAGACAGACAGACACAGACAGACACAGGCAGACAGACAGAGACAGACAGACACACAGAGAGACACAGACAGACAGACACACAGACAGACAGAGACAGACAGACACACAGACAGACAGACAGACACACAGAGAGACACATACATACAGACAGACACAGACAGACAGACAGAGACAGACAGACACAGACAGACAGACAGAGACAGACAGACACAGGCATGCTGGCAGCCCTCCAGTCACCCAGGACCTTGCATTAATATTTCAAAGACAAAGGAGCCTTTCATGTAAAATGACAGTGTGGCGAATGTGCTGGTGACCCTCCCTGACCCCGTCAGCCCCCATGCGACGGCCCAATGCCGAGCATCAGGTCGCACTGCACATGGGGGCTGCACTGGAGCATTAATCAGAGCCGTGTCAGGGATGCAGGGACACCATCACTTCTGTGAAGCCACACCAGCAAAACCAGTTCAGCCCCCTCCGCTCTTGAGGTGTTTCATGATGGGCAGCCACACGACTCAGGTCCGTGTTTTCACCTGTTTGTACAGCTGGATAATTAGGCGACTGATCAAGGCCCAGTACCAGGCCCGGACTGGCAGTGGTTCCTGTTCTGGGACCTCAGCTTCAGTCACGCCACGGAATCCAGCACTCCCAGTGCCGCCAGCCCTCTGAGCTCCCAGCAGCTCGTCTAGGGGCTCCTCGCTGAAATATTCATTTCCGCTGTGGTGGTTTGGACCTTCTCCGCGGCTGAGCGCCACCGGGCCCCAGTAGGGCCAGGAAGCTGCTCAGATGTTCCACCAGCAGCTGTCACCCTCTCAGCCCCCACAGCCCAGATCCCAGTTCAGACCTGACCTGACAGCGAGCTCTACCCCTTAATTCTCACCGTGTGCATCTCTGGTCACCCGGGTCTCACCTCGTCGAAGACGGGCTTATTGTCGTTGATGTCGTTTATGCCCACGATGACCTGGGCGGAGCTACTGAGTGGGTGGGGCCCACCGGAAGCATTGTCGTCCGTGGCCGTGATGTTCAGGATGTACTGGGGGCCCCGCAGCCTGGGGGGAGGGCTTCTGCGCAGTTTGATGATTCCTGGGTTGGGGGAGGACGAGGTCAGGCTCATAACGGGCCCACTGCGGTTCGACCACCGGGACAGATGCGTCCGGTTCCGCAAACATCAAACGGCGGCCCAAACTCGGAACCGAGCCGAACGTCGCCTCTGAGGATGCCGGCAAGCGGAGGCAGACAAAAACAGAGCAGAAAGCGGAGTGTTTACCGTGAAGGGAGAGAGTCGCCCTCATGCACAGCCTTTACAATCTGCTACAACAGACGCTTTGGCTCTGAGTATCTTTGATGGCTTTTCCCCCATGAAGCTCCAGCGGAAAAATAAATAAATATGTTGCTGGGAAGGGGGTGGGCAGAGAATAAATAAAATGCCTCTGAGTCTTTGAAGTGACAACTTTTCACAGTTAAACAGTGAGTGAGCCGAGGGCCATCTGTGTGGCTGGCCTGTAACGGGCTGGTCAAGGAGGGGCTGCTCAGAGCCCCCCCCCCGCTCGGCGTGCACCTCGCCGCAGCCGTGCCTCTGAAGAGCTCGGGATGGCGGAGGGAGAAAGGAGGCCGGCAAGCAAAGAAAGGGTTAAAAAAGCGAATGAAAACAAGCACAGGGTCTGTTTGTTCATATAAGGGGAGGCTTTTTTGTTGAGCATAGTGGGGGTCCTTTGCTTGCTTTCTATGCTGTCTGGGGGGTCTTTCTCGGTGATCTCTGTTACCCGAGTTACTGCAGTCAACTTAATTGGAGGACCGGGGGGGTGGTGAGGCAGTGGGGAGGATTTCTTGTCTCGCGTCCTTACTCACCCTTCTGATTGTCTAGCTCGAAGTTGCTGTCCTCGTTGCCCCCGGTGATGGCGTACGTTACCGCGTCCCCATCCGGGTCCTTGGCGTGGACGATGGCTACCAGCGTCTCCGGTCCCGCGTCCTCAGACAGAAAGGTCTTATACCTGCAGGGGGCAGTGATGGCCGACAGACACTCAGCTGAGATGTCAATCAGGAGCTGAGATACTTCCCATCACGACACAGCGACAGGGGGCACGTACACGGCTTGGGAGAAGACAGGGACCTCGTCGTTGACGTTGGCCAGACGGATCCGGACGGAGGCGGTGCCGGTGCGGGCCGGAGTGCCGCGATCCACCGCTACCACCACAAACTCATACATGTGGTTGGGTCGCTCGTAGTCCAACGTATGCCGTGGACTCACCACACCCTGGCCATTAACGTCAAAGTCTGGACTCTGGATGAAATAGGAGACCTCTGCGTTTAGGCCACTGTCACAGTCCCGGGCCAGCACTGCATTGTGGGACAGAAGGGGGACATTTTTCAGGAGAACCATCCCTACCAATAACTACAACTAGCAGCATTCATTAACCTACTGAGAGGCCAAGACACACAGAAGAGACACATGAAGATCCACTAGGTGGCCGGTAACCGAGAGCAACCAACAGAACGCGACAGGGGGCGCCACGGAAACCGTGAAACACCAGTGTGCCGCATCAAAAACCCTGCAGAAAGACGGAAGTTAGCATGTCTAACTGACGACGGCTTTCTTCTGAAGAAAGAAGGTTTGAGAACGTCACGGTCGGCGTCCCCAGAAAGGGCTCTTTAAGGGCTCCACGGCTCCCAGAGGGGGAAGCTGGGCGCTTATCGGCACGTCTCCCACCAGGCAAAGGTCTTTCATTCGCAACGAGGGGCTGCCGGATTTGTACAGTAAGTGCTTTTTTAATTAAGTATTCTGTCATGTTAAAAGAGCCAATATTAATTAAAACTATGTTGCGAGGCCAATTCTTTATTTGATAAATTTAAGGGCCCATCTGTCAGAGGCACAGGGAAAGCTAGTGTTGACTCCCGAAGATCAAAAGTGAAACTTCAAGAAGGGTTTGCTGTCATTAGGCAAGGCGCCAGGATCCGGCTGCCCGGGCTTCATGCCGCCGCGGGGCCTCGGCATCCCGCTCCGGCACCCGGTGCCGACGGAGGGCCGTTACTCTCCAAGGCAAACGTGGCGCTCCGCAGATGTGGCGGGGAACTTGTTGCGGACTGGGGAGAGGGCAGAATGGATGGGTAGGTGATGGGTGGCGGTGGTGAGGGGGGGGACGATTCAAACAGAAGGTTCATTAAAAATACACAGAATAATATAATATCACTTTGGGCTACCTATTACCATTTTTAATGCGTGTGCTATAAAATCGGAGCTGGAGTGGAAACTGAATTAAACATCGGAGCCGCAAACACATTTGGAGGGAATCAAGGGGCGGCGTTGGAGGGAGATGTGGGTGTTTTTTTATTGGGGGGGGGTAGTATGCTGGCTGTCCTACTGCGGTAAATCCTTTCTACGAGTTTTTCCATGGTAATCGGAGCTCGTACTCAAACCTGCTCCCTGTGCATGACATTAAGCACCAATCTTCTAATTCAAACTCAGGCTTAAGGTGAATGATCAATACTAATCTGATCCCCAAGCTCCTCATCCCCAGCGAGGCTCGTGTTCCGCTGGTTTGCCTTCTTATACTTTTTAACTGGCATTTGATAAGCAAACAGTTTACAAACTGGGTTGGTCTTAGTGTCTGTGTGCTGCTTTCCCTGTTTTTGGCATCCATCCTCAGTTTACGGTACCAGTGATTACAGTCTCACGTTTCGCGGCGCGGATCAAGTCGAGCCACACGGGCAAATCCTGGAGCAGCCGGAGCCGCATCCAGCCAGATGAATGGCTTTGCTGACACGGAGGCTGTTTGTTTCCACGGTGATGAACCCAAGATCATTAGGCCTCATTACCAAACGGAGCCACTACCTAAGGCTTGCCCATGCTGCGCTCTTGCTACCAGAGAACAAAAGGCGGGTTTTGGATCTTTAGTCGGTTGCGGTACCCTCTACAATGCCTTGAATTTTGTGCCAATGTGGCTTTGATCTTCAGACATGACTTTTGTGCAGAACTTTCCCCTTCCATGATCCCACTGGCACAAAATACCGCTTACAGTATTTGGTGAAAATCCACCAGCGTGCTAGTATTTACTGCGAGACAGCAACCGCTACAAGGGCCCCGTCTGTCTCCCACACACACACAGCCATGCTGACAGCCACGGAATAAACTGTGTTTGTCTAGAAGAGTATATGTGTGTGTGCATGGCTGTGTGGGTCTACCCTGTGCCCATAAAATATGAACGCGGAGAGATACCTCTTAAAATGGCAGCGCTGCTATGCTAAGCCCCAAAAGCCACGGAACCTCATTGGAAACACAACAGATCATCCATTTTTTAAAAGACATAAAATGCTTTCGATTACTGGGATAGGATCATGGCTGTGTGAGACGCCGATAACTGAACCCAATTCCATTAGTGCCGCGGTTTAGCGAATGGCCACATGGGGCCGTGCCCACAGCCTGCCTCACTCTCATCGGCCTGGGATCTCCCAAGGGCCCCGGTCGCTTTCGTACCAGACCATTCGGCCTCTCCGGTGCGCCAGTTCCGGTGAGACACAGCCCGCAAGGAACTTTCTGGTGCATGAAGCGTGTGCATAGAAGCAGCGCAGTGCCGATGGTGGGGGCTCCCTGAAATACGACACTGTGGCGAGAGCGCCCCCTTCCTCGGAAGGAGCACAGTCTCCTCTGCCTTGCTCCCGCAGCCGCAAGCAGACTTTGATTACTATCTATCTCCCAGCCAGAAAACCCTGCTGTAATTAATTATTTCTTAATTATTTTTCAAACCGCATGTGTGATCCCCCCCTCCCTACCTGCCCACTAGCCAATCGCTGTGCAGCTTAGCATTTGGGAAAAGGCAAGTGCCCTGCAGTGTCGCCCCATCAAGGTCAAAGGAGCTTCACCTCAGGGGGGGGGGCAGCAGCTGGTAAACTGAGTTCTCCTGGATTCTTAACAGAGCCTTTCTGGAAAGGCCATTAATGCCATTAGCGCCATCTACGGGATAAATGGCACCACATGCCTTGCGATTAGAGTCCGCCCTGTGCTGAAAGCACGCTTGTGGTGGGTTTACACTCCTACATGTCTGATTAGCAGCTCTTCCGGGGCCCGTGGGCCTTGCGGACTCGGGCACTATGTTAAACGCTACTGTACCTTGCAGCAGGGAGCTTCCAGGGGGCGTGACCTCAGCAACACTGTCCCGGCTGTATATGGAATGCATGAACTCGGGGGTGCAGTCGTTCTCATCAGTGATGTGCACCACCACCTGGGAATGGGACAGAGTCTGTTAGCAAAGGCTGGGGGGGGGAGTCCAGACAGAGGCTATAGCATCATGTTAGCAGGTGGGGGTGAGTCCAGACAGAGGCTATAGCATCGTGTTAGCAGGTGGGGGTGAGTTTGGACAGAGGCTATCATGTTAGAAGGTGGGGGTGAGATTGGACAGAGGCTATCATGTTAGTAGAGGTGGGGGGGTTGCCTCTTCCCAGCGCCTTGTATTGTTGACCCCCACATGCCCCCACTCTGACACGGTGCACCTTCCCATGACATCAGTCACCGTTGTCCCCCCCTCCAAATCGACCTGGCCTGAAAACACGTTGGTCGAAAATTACAATTTGCTTTATCTTCTCCCCCCCCCACAACCCCACCCTCTGCTTCTGCTCCGGTCTCGTGGCCCCCTGCTGTTTGGAGAGCTGTCAGGACCCTGCTCTGCTGAGCAGAAAACCGGTGGTGGACTCCAACGGCAAAGTTAGTCACGCTGGCGCGAGACTCCCGGCTGGGCCCTTATCGCAGAGGAACAGCCGTGCCAGGGGGTGGGGGAGAGTGAGGGGGGGGGGGCATACTGACAGACAGCACCAAGGCCAGTCGAGGCTTAGAGAGAGGAGTGAAGAAGTACACTGGGACCCTGGATCTCCCAACAAAACCAGACATAATCCTCATATGATAATAACAGCAATAATAATAATCATTATCCTGAACAAACATATAGCAGCACCTAAGCTGTCAGCCACTGAGATAACCTGTCATCTTCATCATGTTTAATTTACCCTCCAAAGAACAGACCTTTCCTTTGCTGTCCCTTAGTGACGGAGTCCATGCAATGACCAAGAACTCCATAGCCGTGTTGAAGTCGCACTGAAAGACTGTAACTGATTAATGAACCACAGAGGTACTATGAGGTTAATTCAGTCCATCTCCCTGAAAAGGGTGTCTAAGACCCAGCTGGTGCCCCTCATGGGCGATGTACACTACTACGGAACTTTTTTCTCACTTCTGTTATTTCTGATCTTCCGAGTTACAGAATGGAGGCGCCGGGGAGAATACGATGAGAGACCAGGAAAAACAAACAGATCAGATCAAACGGGCCCTTTGGCTTTCTGTCACAGAGGCTCTGCCGGCACGTGTGACAGCCGGCTCTCGTTAGACGCACTGCTCCCCGAGCTCCCCTAAGTAACAAAGCGGAGGGGCCCTGATCCGAATGAGATCACAGAGTAAGAGCATCACAGGCGGCTGTGTGCTGGCACCACGCGGCCATTAGGCCGTCATTACGGGAGGCCTGCCGCAACCTGCCTGACTGCAGGCCCTGTCTGAAGCGGAACTGCTATAAATATCTGGCAGGCTGAGCCACCACAAGACGGCCGACACCAGCCCTCCGGCAACTCCAACGCTCATTAAGCTGGGGAGCCGGTGGCCGGGGTGACAAAGTGGAGCGCAGAAAAGCATGCTGGGAATAAATGACGAGCCTGTCCACAGGGCCCCACCACGAGTTTGAGCCCACTGGCCGGACAGGGTTACGTGTGTGACTGTGTGCCTGTGTATGACTGTTTACATGTTTACATGATTGTTTACATGTGCCTGAGTGTTGCTGTAGGTGTGTCTGTGTGATTGTTTACGTGTGTGTGTCTGTGATTGTTTACGTGTGTGTGTTACTGTAGGTGTGTCTGTGATTGTTTACGTGTGTGTGTTGCTGTAGGTGTGTCTGTGTGATTGTTTACGTGTGTGTGTCTGTGATTGTTTACGTGTGTGTGTTGCTGTAGGTGTGTCTGTGTGATTGTTTACGTGTGTGTGTCTGTGATTGTTTACGTGTGTGTGTTACTGTAGGTGTGTCTGTGATTGTTTACGTGTGTGTGTCTGTGATTGTTTACGTGTGTGTGTCTGTGATTGTTTACGTGTGTGTTACTGTAGGTGTGTCTGTATATGATTGTTTACGTGTGCTGGCATTCTCCTATAGTTGTGTTTCTATGATTGTGTGTGATGTGCCTCTGTGTTTTTACACATGCGAATGTCTGAGATCATACTACCTCTGCCAAGCTGCTCAGGCCCGTTCCTGGTTCGGAGGCGCGGATCTGCAGGTGATACAGGTGCTGGCCTCCCTCGTAGTCCACGGCTCGGGTCAGGCTCACGGCGCCGCTCTCCTGGTTGATGCTGAACAGATTGCCGGGGTTCATCACCAACGTGTAGGAGAGGCTCTGTCGCTGGAACGATACGGCCTGCACCACGGTGATGCTGGGGGCAGGGGGTACAGGTGCGTGTAAATAAAAACGCTCTTAAAGAAACAGGTGACAGTGAAAAAGCGGGACGGCTGTGACACCATGCAGCACAGGGATCATGCAGCACAGGGATCATGCAGCACAGGGATCATGCAGCACAGGGATCATGCAGCACAGGGATCATGCAGCAAAGCAGCGAGGAATCTAACCCTCATTAAGCACAAAGTGCTGCTTGCTGCAGGAGCTCAGACACTCTGATCATGTTTACATGTTTATCTGATAAATATTTGGGTTTGCGACAGTTTTTAATTCTGAGCCCTGTGACAACATGGCACATCTGCGCCCCCGCCATGCCCTCCCAGAGCCCTCTCCCCATTCTCACGCAGCCTCTGCTGCTCTGGAGGGCACATCTGTTCATGCGGAACATAATGCGACGCTGCTGGGGGCAGCCATGCCCGATGGCTGGCTTCTTGTTTCCAATCTCTCTGCCCTTCCCCTACCCCCTGCCCCCCCCTCCCCCGCCCCGCACTCACGCCTGCCCGGCTGCCGTGCTCTCTGGAGCGAAGGCCGTGTAGGAGGCGTTGGTGAACTGGGGTGGGCGGAAGCCCACCAGGACGGCCACGCTCGCCAGCGAGCCCCTCTGGGCCAGAAAGTCCTCCACCTGCACCGTCAGCACATACTCCTTGTTGAGCGTCAACGGCTGCTCCGTGGTCCGAATCTCCCCGGACGCTGGGTCGACCTCAAACCGGCCCTCCCCTCCTGGAAGCCAAGACAGAGTGGACCATTTTAGGGGAAAGGTCACGGTATCATCTAGCTGTGAAACACCACACACAACAGGCACTACTCTGATTCTCATAATTCCGGCAAGAAGTGCTATTAGGTGAATAGTTTATATGTCTAAGGAATAACTCTCAGCTCTATAATAAGTGCTGTGGGTTAGATTTAGCTCATAACAGGGGAGGGCAGCAAGGGGGGAGGGGTCTCCAAGCTCCAATCCGGCAGCTGCTGCAGTGTCAGGGGCCGGGCTCTTGCTTGCGGGTCACTTTAACCTCGTACCCCCCAAGCACTGGCAGGCGCTCAGATGAGAACAGCTGCTCCTTGCTGGACCCAATAGCAGAGCCCACGGCTCAGCCCTGCTCACACGGCTCAACCACACCCACACAGCTTGACCCCGCCCACACGGCTCAGCCCCACCCACACAGCATGACCCCGCCCACACGGCTCAGCCCCACCCACACAGCATGACCCCGCCCACACGGCTCAGCCCCACCCACACAGC